ATTTACTCTCTCTTGGCCCCATAAAAGAGGAAGAAGAATGTGGAGGTGTGCGAGAAATGCTTTGATATGGACAGTTTGGGAAGAAAGGAATGCTAGAATCTTCCAAGAGAAGGGGAGGAGCAGTCAGGCCCTAAAAGACTACATTTTGAATAGGGCAATACAGTGGTTAAAGACTATGGAACTGTTTCACCAATTTTCCTTTAATGATTTATGGAGGAACTGGTTGGCAGTAGCAAGCTGTTCATCCTCAAAGGAAAGGGTCTCTACAAACTGGGCTCCCCCTCCTCAAGGTTTTCTAAAGCTGAATTTTGATGGGAGTAGCCAGGGCAACCCAGGGCCCTCTGGGATGGGAAGTGTCTTGAGAAATGAGGCTGGAGAGGTTATCCTTCTCTACTCTGGCCCATTGAGCATTGGGAATTCTATTAAGGCAGAATTGCTAGCTGCTATGCAAGGGGTCCTCCTCGCGAAAGAATTGGGTGTGGAGCAGTTGCTCATTGGAGGGGACTCTAAGGTAGTGATGGAGTGGTTAAATAATCCGGAGAACGTTTGTGGGGTCACAAAAATGAGCTAAAGAAATACAAATGGTTGATAAGGAATATGACTGTTACTGTACAGTAGGTGAGGAGATCAGCTAATGCCTTCGCTGATAGCTTGGCAAAACAGGGCACAACTCGGGAAACACTATTTTGGGCTGAGCTGTAATTTTGTATTAGTAGACATGTACATTTTGCTTTAGATTCTGTATTTTAAGATTTTATGCGCTTCATGTTTGGAGACGTGGCATCTCGCGTCTTCCCAAGGGACTAATTATGTAATTTCTTTCTGATTTAATGGAAATATGATATTTTATCTATAAAAAAATGTTGCTCATTCATTTATCCTAATAAAAGATATTTTTAAAGATATTGAAAATTATAAAAACTTTTTATAGGAATTAAGAATTTAAGACCCTTATATGGACTTGTTTGGGCTTGCCTCTAGGGGCTTGGTCAGGCCCCCAACCCAGCTGCTAAGCATAAAAAAATATAGAAAAAATGCACAAATTTTCAAAAGGCACACACCTGGGTGCGCAAGGCATGTGCCTTTTAAAACTGTTGTGCCTGGGACCCAGGCGAGGCACATACCCTAAAATGCACCTCGCATGTGTGCCTAGGCACGCCTTTTAAAATCACTGGCCTGGCATCCTTTTTAATATATTGTTCTTTTTAACATACAAAATTTATATTAATTCTTTTATGAAAGTCAAGTATAAATAAGATAGAGGATGTTTCAGGAATGTGACGGACCAATAATTTTGTAGAAGCAAAGACCATGACTTCAGTACTCATTATCCAATAAAGAGGCATGCAACTCGACCTATGTTACACAAACACATCGATAACTTCAGTATTCATTGTTCAAGGATGAAAAGACTGATGTAATTGGTTGTCATCCTGGCCTTGTGCCTTTCAGTAAAATTCCATTTTACCAGAGAAAATATAAATAACATTTGTAGTATATATGTATGGCAAAATTAATATTTTCTGTAATTTTATAATAATATATATGATATTTATAATGTATATGTTTAATAATATTCATGGATATATGCATATCTACACTATATAAAGTGGATTCCAGCCATGGTCTCTGTGCAGATCATAAAAGTTAAATCAAAGTATCATACCATCTGGGTTAATATTTATATCTTTACCCTTTATCTTTACTTGCATATGTGCATAGCACATACCCTTACATGCTTGAAAATGCTTTATATGTTTGATTTTATTTTTAAACTTTCATTTTCATATGCTTTACATGTTATGTTTATGTATTTTAATTTTATATAATATATTTTTTAAAATATTTATTTTAAAAATTAAGTTTATTTTTTTATTATTTTCTTTTTCATCTTTTTAATTTTTTGGCATTTTTTGAATTTTTTGACTTTTTTTTGTGTCTTGCTTCAAAGAGGCACGCACCTTGCCTTGCGCCTTGCGCCTCAGGCATAAATTGACCCTTGCGCTTTTAAAACACTGGGATAGGGGATGATGTGGGGATGGGAATAAGAAGACTCTTCAAATCACACAACTCTGTTTAAGGAGTTTGGGTCCAGTGAGGCTGCTCCTGATTGTGGCGTAGGCTAAGGGAGAGAAGTTAGACAATCTTACTCTGAACCAAAGGGCAAATCACAGCTCTGGGGGCCCTAGATGTAACCTAACACAACACAAAACACAGAACAAAGGAGCACAGCTTTCCCTTCCCCAAGAAGCTGCGCAGTCCTCATCTTTGCAGGATTCTGACCAGCCTAAGCTTGTAATGGGTGGGGTTTGTGAAAGCATTGAACCAATATTTTAAAAGTGCAAGGCGCAAAAAAAGTGCAAGGGGAAATTTGCGCCCGAGGCACACGCTTTTTGAAGCAAAACACAAAAATATAAAAAAAAAAGCCAAGAAAACAAAAAAAAAGTAAGAAAATCAAAAAGATGCCAAAAATAAAAAAATATTAAACATAATATTAATAAAAAATATAAACTTGAATTTTAAAATAATGTCTTAAAAACATATTATCTAAAATTAAAATACATAAACATAACATGTAAAGTGTGTTCAAGTGAAAATTTAAAAATAAAATCAAACATATAAAACATTTTCAAGCATGTAAAACCCACAATCTCTTTTCTTCCTCAATTGCATTACTTCAAGTAGCTAATGCAATGTAAAACATATTGCATTTCTGATTCTATGAGCCACCTTTGTACCAAGCCCCTCAAGGCAAGCCCAATCAAGTCCATGTTAAGGTCTTCAATTCTTAATTCTCACACAAAAAAAAAAAATAATTTTGTAATTTTAATTGCCTTTTAAGAAGACAGTTTATTAGGATGAATGAATGAACAACATTAGCAAATAGGGGGTTTTCGGAGCCAAGAATCCCATTTTATAATTTTAATTCCTATTAATAGGAAAATATTCCAAGCCAAGAATCCCATTATTCATTTCTCATAAACAATTCCAAGGCAGTTCCTTAATAACCTAACCATAGCAGCATTAATCCTACGTAACATTATTACAACATATAAACACAATATAAGTTCAAGGAGTAAAATATCGATACAATATGCCCATATCAGGGTGTGTTGTATCCATATCGATGTACCCAAATACACATGGATACACTGATACAAAATTGATAAAACTTAAAATTTTACAAATGTGGGCCCAGCCCTCTAATGATTATAAAATTAAAAAAAGTCAAAAGATAAAAATAAGGGGAGTATTGGTGATATCAACATGCACTGATACCCAACTTTGGGTATTGGGCATGTAAATTTTTTAATCTTTGAATAAAATCTAACATTTGATGCAGAACACAGGTAATCATCCACTAGACAACTAGAACTCTTTATTTGCCCCCCCCTGACAACGTTAAACCATCATAGGACCTAAATTGGGTTAAACCTATGCCTGCCCTTAGATTCATTCCATAAACCAAATCTTATATATAAAAACAGTTAAAAATGTAATATATCTATAGCCCATAAACATTTGTTAAATGAAACTAAACCACTGAATCTATAAGGCAGATAGCTATTTTACAAACCAGTTCACACCTCACACAAATAACCTTGTTTACAAACAGTTGAGGCATCAGTCATTGTTTCTGTATCTGGGGTCCAATTTCTCTTTTAATCGTTGACACCAGGATGAAGTGATTCCTAGTTCACTGAATTCAACTAAGAGTAAGAGCAATTTCAACAAGAGTGTAAATCCCCACTAGACAAAGGGCAGTAGAAGGTCAAAGGTCAGCTCCTAGGTCAAGCAACCAATAAGTTACAGCTATCACACAAGATAATCAGCTCTTATTTGCAGGGTCTGAAAGACTGAAATAATTTTTTTTCTACGAAGCTCTTCATGGGCTAGTTTCCTTGTAACTTCATTTAAGTATCCCAATTTCAATTCCTTTCTACTTGTAGGTGGTGGAAGAAGCATCCTTTAGATGGTTTCAATTTCAAAAGCAAGACATGGTGTAAGTGCTTAATTCAAGGTTCATCTAAGAAAGAAAAATCAAACAGCTACTAAAGTCACTCAAGTGAAAATCAAAGAATAAGAGCAGATATCTGCACGCTGCTCTTCTTATCTTAATAAATTTTATGTTTATTTATCTTCAAAATAAGAAACCCAAATCAAAATCGAGGATGCACCAAACCTAAACCTCACCCCATTATCACCTATGTTGATGCGCTAAGTTGACATTTACAACAGAATCAGCAGGATATTCTTTTCTCCATCAGGATCATGAAGGCATAAATCTATAATATACATTGCCTCCTTCAGTGGATCATGTATTAATGCCTCTTGTGAAATTTTGCCAACATTTTGTAAGAAGCTACCATAAGAGAAAGAATGGCTAACTTCTCAAATAATTTTAAACAGCTAAAGGTTAAAATGCTTTGCCAAGCAAAGAAAATCGCTTGTATATGAACAATTTCTTCAGTCTTTCCTTTTGGTTGTTCATTGTATAATGAAATGCTGAATAAACTATGGTTCTCCCATTGAGAGGTAAATACACTGTGTCTTAAACATTTTCCAACCACCCAGCAATCTCAAAACTATCTAACCAGAAAGATAGGAAATGATGACAGCAACAACCAGATTAAAAAAAAAAAAACATCATATCGAATCCACCCAATTTCTTGTTTTCTTCTGAAACAAAAGAAGTTATAAGCTGAAACGTCTAATCCAACATTTCAAAAATTAGATGCCAGTTAGAGTTTTAACAATCTATATAAGATACTAAAAGTATAATTAGAATTCCTTATATCCCATTCGTGTTTTATTGATTTATCATCCACCTGCATGTGATTAACTTTAACATCAGCATCAAACACACAAAAGAGTTAATAGTTAATCATTAGGGTAGATTCAATACAGAAACAACACCAAAACACTCAAAGAGGTCAAAGAGGAAACAGAAGCTGAAATTGAAAACGAAGCCAAAAAAAATGGAAAAAAGTAGAACGAACCGAAATAACGGCGCTCATTAGCAGCTTTGGCCTTCTCAAGCATCTTGTCGAGATCTTCTTGGAGCTGAGCGTCCCATTTAACGAGCTGATTGGCGAAGACTACGCCCAGACCCATCCCTAAAACGTGTTCCCATGGATCTGAAGAAACAAAGCCATTAAAATAAATAAATCACCAAACAGTATAAACCACAAGCACAATTCAGGGTAAAAACACGCAGAGAGAGAGAGAGGGAGGGTGGGATAGGTTTAGGAGGTAACTATAAGAATCAAATTGAAGGACTCACGTCTCATGTAAGGAAGTTTACGGAGGGCGTTGGAGTACATCTGGGTGCCCAACCCCAGTAAAGCTCCGATGAACGTCGCACTCGCCGGCATTTCTGTTTAGCTTTTCGATCCCTCGCTCGCTCTCTATTGGCTTCGGCGTCTGTAATCTTCTCTGAACGACTGAACCTCTCCCCAGCCCCAGGTATGATATTGTGGACCTTGGTATACCACCTCTACTATGGACACCAATTACTGTCTCTAATCAATTTCTCACCAAAAGACGACACTGACTCGCGTGAGCGGTGTTTGTGACCCGGGTGGTCCAACCGTTCTGGGCCTATGAATTTTAATGCCCGATTGCCCAGGGTGATCATGGACCGGGCCGGGCCGGGCCTAATTCTGGGCCTATGAATAATATACAAAACATCGAATACAAATAATATTTTCTGTTATATGATATGTAATATGTCTATAAAAATCATGGCCAGAAGTTAGAGGTGTAAATTGGGTCGTGCCGCCCGTGGCCCGACATGAACTTGGACCGGCCCGACACGACGGTTCGTGGGTCGTGCCAAGCCCAACATGATTATGCGGGCCATGCTGGGCCTGGGGTTTTAGGTCCATGGGCCGGCACGGCACAACACGACCGAGTGGTTCATGCCGCCTGTAGTGTGCGGGCCGGCACGGCCTAGCTCGCAACCCAGCCCACGACACGACCTAGAACGGCCCATATATATTTATTTATATATTTTATATATATTTATATAATATTATATAAATTATAATTACATAATAATGTATAGTATATAATATATTAATAAAATAAATATTTTTTTAATTTTATTATACTAATTTATTTAATTATTGTATATATAAACAATTGTACACACAAAATTTATATAAAATTAAAATTTTAAGTCTTTTGTTAATTTTTTTAAATAAATAGCTTTGGCCCACGACCCAACTTGGCCCAAGGCTCGGCCCACGGGCCAGCCTAGCCCGCGGCACCACATTAGTCTGGGCCATGGGCCGTGCCGGGCTGACTCCTAAATTTTTCACTAAGGAGGGCAACACAGCCCGTGGGCCAGCACAGCATGGCTACACTTTGCACGGGTCGCCTATAGGCCGTGTCATATCGGCCCAACACAGCCCACTTTACACCTTTACCTGAAGTGTCATACTCACGCTTGACCCTAGGCCTGGGTTTAAACACAAAACTTAGGCCTAAGTCCAAAATTTTTTAGGTCAAACTTTGTGGGCTGAGCTGAAAATGGTCTATCTGATAGAAGCAAACAAGTCAAACTGATTATATCAGTTCTGGTAATGTGGTTTGTGTTCGAAGTAATAATTGGGTAGAGATTCTAGAGACCAATTATATATCAGCTCTTGTTGTTCCTAACCGATTATATAGTTACTAATATATGGGAGTGTTCTAGTTTTGTTGTGTTTTATGTCTAAAAGGATAAATTTCTTAGACAGGAATAAGATAATTTTGGTTAAAAATACTTTTTTTATCAACACAACACATTAATGGTTTACTATTTACTGTCACTTTAATTAAAATTATATTATCAAAAATAAAGTTATAAGTTTGAATTATCATAAGTAATTATATACAGATGTTAGACATGATCAATTAATCAGATCTAATGGTTAGACACGATTATCCTGGTTAATAATTGGTTCAATTCCGCGTTATATTATATAACCGGATAACAATCGATTCAGGAATAGTCCATGTTGTCCCAAACTAGACTCGACCCATTGACTGCTCTGGGGAAATGTGTAAAAAGCTATTGACTTTTCGTCAAAAGCGTCAATTTAAATGGTTAAACTGACGAAGCAATCAAACCATTTATGGGTCACAATTCAAATTAATTAAATAAATATTGAATAACACAATGATTATTCAATAAATTATAACAATAAAAAAACAAAAATAAGTGTGATAAATAAGATTTTTTTATTAATGATGAAATATTTGATATTTATTAGAATTAGAACCATTTTTTTCATCAATTTCATAATTAAAAAATGAAATTTAGAAAAAAAAAACAAATAAAAGTTAGAGAAGACTGAACGTCTTTAATATTCTATATTCATCATGTTAAACAAAAAATCTATATTATAAATGAAAATCATTGTTATTAATGGTGGAAATTACTAAATATACAAAAAAAATAAACAAAAATAACACCTAATTAATGACATGCTAACCATGTCAAATAGGTTATAAAGAAAAATACTGGTCCAACCCCTAATTCAAGCTTGAAAACCTTGTTTGTGTGTGTTGCCTGTAACATCCTTTGTTTTCGGTTTTTTTTTTTTTGAAATTACACTTACCCATCATCCATTCATCAACAAACTTGGTTATATCTCCCTATGGGTAATATGTTCAATAAAATTAGAGAGTATAGTCCTAATATAGGCCATAGAAGAAGAAAGTGTAATGAGCTAAATGATGAGCATCACCATCAAAAAACCAAGGTTGCATCTCAAAAATTCTTTTATTCTCTTGCCCCAGCTCTCTATATTGTATTTCACTTCCCTTTTCCTAAGCCTAATCAAGTAAAATTCATTCATACTTAGTAAAATATCCTACGTAATGCAATCAAAAAGGAAAGTTGGAATTCTAACCAAGTTTAACAATTATGCTCAGTTTGGAAGGAATACAGATACAAATATGTACTGTACAAATACATATAAAATAATATAAAATACAAAGTTTTGCACTCTACATATTTGTATTTATACTCCTTTCAAATTGAGCCTTAAAAACAATAAGTGATCAAATGAGCAACAGTATTTGCAGACTTGGACAACAACACCATTAAGCAATAAAAGAAACGATGAAGTAGGTGTATGGAACTGATGCCATTTTCATGAAAAAAATGGCACTGCCATGATTGAAATTTGTTTTCTGAAAAAATGCTCACTATTTGGTTGGATATTTCCTCCAAAACATTTTCTCAGACCACGCCTTGGAAATTGAGAAAGGTGTGGTATAAGAAAATATCCTTTTTGAATTTATTTTCCTTTTTCTACTGTTGTTAGAACTAATATGTTGATGTGCTGTTAAAAAACACCTCAGTGGGGTCCCAAACCAAAAAAAAAATCCATTTTTTGAGAAAATGGCATACCTATGCAGAAACAACACCAGTTCCAAAACACCGCTGAAGTAACACTTTGCAATCAGCGATCAACCAAGTGAACTGCCATGCATGATTAGAATTTTCCTTGGATAAACAATGTAATTTATGATTGTGATTCAATGATGGTTCCAAAAAAGATGGTCATCCTTATCAATTCGATTAAGCCAAAAGTGGATGGAATCAAAATAAACTTTGATGCTGCATAAACAACAGATGCACCATTGCTTGTGTGGCCAGAAATCATCTTGGCCAAATTTTGGATTTCAAAGCCTATGATATAGGAACCTCGACTATCAATCTTGTTGAAGCGTGGGCGGCTTAGGAATCTCACAATCTCGCTCTCAACTTCAATGGAAAATCCATTATCATTGAAGGCGATTCAAAACTTGTCATTGATTGTCTAAAGAATTAGGTGGACCCTCCATGGAGACTGAGAAGGGCCATTGAAGGTTGCAAGTCTTTGGTTGAGAGGATGGAAGGCGTAGTGGAGCACAGACACACATTTCGGGAAGGGAACCGAGCTACTGATTGGCTTGCTAATTGTGCTCATTCAAATCTTAATTTTGTTTCTTATTTGCCTTTCTGTTTAAAGTGTCTATCTTGTGCTAACATTTGGGGATGGGCTACCCCCATTGTGTGTAGCTCTTTTTTGATCTTTGGTTTATATCAAAAAAAAAAAAAAAGAATTTTCCTTGGATATAGCTTGAATAACCACTAGAGTGTCTCTCTCTCTCTCCACTATTACCTAAGAAATTTCTAAACCCTCCAAGGTGATGTTTGGGAGTGATTATTGTTTTTAAATGGACTTTTTAAATAGGTTCTTATTAAATAAGTAGTTGCTTATGAGTGCTTGGTCAAAAAAAGCACTTCTTTCAAATGGGGAGTAGTGTAAGTATTTTGATAATAGATGGTGGGCCAAGACAAGACAAAAATGCAATAAGTGCTTATAAAAAAGCAATTTTTGCTCCTTTGAAACAAGCTTATTTTGGTGAAAAAGTGTTTATTGGAATTTTTTACAAAACACCTAAATCAGTTTTTTCGAGAGATTTTGGAATCTTTTAAATGGTTTTCTAAATAAACACTTAAAAGAAAGTACCAAGGTTTTAAAAACTGACCTAAAAATGGAACCGCTTTGGGGGTCAGCCGTTCAATCGTCAGGGTCAAATGATTCAACCCGTGACATCATAAAATTAAATAATAAATGTCAATATTTACAAATAATAAAAAATATCATAGAAAAATAAAAAATAGATGAAATGTTAAACAAATATGCAGATTGTATAAATCATCATATCATCATATGAAACATTGAACAAATACAAGAATAAAAATATTTGCAGATAATCATTTTTTTTCTTAACAAGTAAGCATGCACGTGGCAATTCTAGATGATGAAAATGATAGAAATAATATATCCAAAATTTTCTATAAAATTCATGTATTTTTTTTTCACTATTAATTGGGTATCATTAGCAGGCCTACCTATTTGGCTGGACTCTTATTTTTGTAATGTTTTATCTTCTTAGTGTATATTTTTTTTTGTTTATTTAAAAAAAATGTAAGACTTAAAGAGGGGGAATTGAATGAGGTAAAAATTATAGTTCAAACTACATTTTAAACCTCACAATTAAATAGGGATTAAATTAAAAAAATAGGTATTTTAGTCAAAAGAAATTTCACAATTCTATTCATAGTTATAATAGTAGTGTAAATAAGGAGTTATAGATGTGTTCAATTTTTTCTATAATTTTTTTATGCGTGTAAAAATAATATTGTTATTTACACCTTTTTGTTTAATATGTTAAATATATGATATTATACATGTGCCCAAATATTTTTTTGTGAAATTTATGTATTTTGGCGGAGCTAGGGGATGGCATAGGGTAGCCATGCCCCCCCTATGCCTTGAAATTCCCTATAGTAGCCATTTAAATTTCACATATATTTAGCCCCTCCTACCCATGTTTCCTATCTTTTGGCCCCCCTATCCATGTTTATTACGCTTTGGCCCCCACCAATAAAAAATCCTACCTCCGCCCTTGTATTTTTTTTTTGTTTTTATATTTTATTA